CAGCCACTGCACTCCAGTCTGGGCGACAGAGTGAGAGTCCAACTCAAAAAAAAAAAGAAAGAAAGAAATGTGTGCATGTTAGTGAGTGATACTATGGAGAAGCATCAGGAGGGCAGTGTTGTGAGTTGGGTTGCAATTCTCAGGAGAGTGGCCATGGAAGTTTCACTGGGGGTGGGGTGACACTCAAGATTCTTAAAGAAATTAGGAAGAGCTGAAATGCAGAATGCTGAAGTATTCACAGATCAGTAAGGAGGCCAGAGGCTGGTCAGAGGAGTGAGAGGGAGGAGGGAGGAGGGACTGGATAGAGCAGATGATGGGGGGCTTGCCAGATTTGACGGGGTCTTCAGGAGAGGCTGGCTCTCCCTTTAATTGTGATAGGAAGCTTTTGTAGGGTTTTAAGCAGAGGAATGCCTTTATTTAACTGATGTGTTTTGTTTGAGTCAGAGTCTCACTCTGTTGTCCAGGCTGGAGTGCAGTGGCACCATCGCAGCTTACTGCAGCCTCAGTTTCCTGGGCTCAGGTGATCCTTCCACCTTAGCCTCTCAAGTAGCTGGGACTACAGGCGCAGGACACCGCGCCCAGTTAATTTTTTTATTTTATTTTTTTGTAGAAATGAGGTCTTGCTATGTTGCCCAGGCTTGTGTGGCACTCCTGGCCTCAATCAATCCTTCCTCCTCAGCCTCCTGAAGCGCTGGGGTGCATGAGCCACTACGCCTGACCTTTAACTGACATTTGAATAGGATCCCTCTGACTGCTGTATGGACAACAGACTGGAGTGAGCAAGGGCAGAAGCCAGGAGGCAGCTAGCCAGCTAGCCAGCCATTGAACAATCCAAGTGAGATGTGATGAGTGGCTTGGCCCATGGTAGTAGCGGTGGACATTAGGGAGGGTCAGATTCTGGATCTATTCAGAAGCTAGCAAGATTTCCTAAGTGATTTGATGTTGAGTGTGAACGACAGAGAGGAGTCAAGGATGACTCAAGGTTTTGGCCCAAGTAGCTGGAAGGATGGGGTTGCCATTAATCCACATGGGACAAGTACGGGAGAAACAGAATTGGGCAGGAGTAGGGGAAGGAAAGGGGGTCAAGTGTTTGGTTTGGGACACACTAAGTTTGAGATGTCTATGACACCCAGGTGGAGATGTTGGATAAGACAGGTGGATATTTGAGTTGGGAGTGCAGGGGATAACCTAGGCTGAAATGGTGGACGTGGGGGTTGTCAGGATGCAGATGGTATTCAAAGTCATGAGTCTGGGCAAGATTGTGCGGGAAGTCCCTCTATGCACTTGTCCCTTACGTTGCTCCTGTTCTGTAGCAGACACACGCTGCCCTCAACAAGTCAGTCCACAGGGTGAAGGAGGAATCAGTCAATGACCGTAACACACAGTGATGAGCTATGATGGGTTTAGCCCAGGTCCTTCCAGAATGGCCCACTTGTAGTCTCAGAGCCTTACTTTCCTCTCTAGAACTGGGGCGGCAGGAGCGGGGGGTGGAGGGGCAAGAGAAACCATGGATATGAAGAGCTTTGCAAACTGTTGGACATTATTATCGGGAATGCTGGGCTGGAGGACATTTCATTTATTCCCTGCTCATTAAGCAGCTGCCTTTTCCAGAGAAACAGCTGCTTATTTATTTACTTCTTCTGTTTTTCTCTGTCCCCCAGGGCCCTTCCTGACGCCACCTTCTGGGCTGCAGTGCATACCCTGATGTATCTCACCTTTCGCCAAGTTGCCTTGAAACTGAGGTGGTTCGTTCACATCTGTTACCTGGACAGTCAGGATCTGCAGGTCTGTGACACCAACCTTATCCTTAACATAAATCTGCAAATCAAATATGTTCGGTCCTGTTTCAAAATCTAGTTCCTTCTCAGTGGTGACAACCTAAATAAAACAAAACGCAAAATTCTTAGTAACCGGGTGACAAAAGATCTGTTTTGTATGCGTGCATTTTGCACAGGGGTATGACTAGGAAGGAAGCATCCATCATCCGGGAGGCCATCTTTCACTCGCTACCAGGAGAACCAGTTACTTTGCCTTACTCCCTCCAACACAAGCCCTGGGACACTTCACCAAAGGGACTCCTGCATGTGACACTTCACCAAAGGGACTCCTGCTGTTTTTCATAGAAAGAAAATTATTTGGGAGACATCCTGCTACAGTTCGACTGCAGATGGAAAGCCTGAGCCACTACCTGAGGGTAGGCTCCTAGAAAGATCTTTTCGCTATCCTGAATAGAGCTAAAAGAAGGGCCGTGCACGGTGGCTCATGCCTGTAATCTCAGCACTTTGGGAAGCTGAGGTGAGAGGATTGCCTGAGCCCAGGGGTTCGAGACCAGCCTGGGCAACTTGGCAAGACCCCGTCTCTACAATAAATCAAAAAATTAGGCAGACGTGGTGGCGTGTGCCTGTTGCTCCAGCTACTTGGAAGGCTGAGGTGGAAGAATCACCTGAACCCAACAGGTCGAAGCTGTGGTGGCCATGAGCATGCCACTGCACTCTAGCCTGGCTGACAGAGTGAGACTTCAACTAAAAAAAAAATAATTATAAATAAAAAAAAGAAAGGAAGCTGCACTTCCTTGGGATTGCTGTTAAGTTATACCTTGACTCATCACTCCATTTTAACTTTCCCAAGGCCACATCCAAAAATAAATAAGAGGAATGGGACACATCTGCATAATAAGGAATGATATTTACTTGATCAGCAAACTGTTAGATTTTTGTGTGTGCCTTTCTACAATCCTTCCATTGTCAGGCACTTTGTCTTCTGCGCTAGAAGTATTTTGGAGGTGTGGGAAGAACAGCAAGGACCAAGGCCAGAGAGACCACACCAGACTCTAGAGCTGTTGTCACCAGGAACCCTGTTGGCCCATGGTGGGTGGGTCCTGCTTAGGCCCACTGGAGACCAACCTGTGACTGTCACATCTATAGACACATCCCACCACCAACTTAGCCCATGGAACTTCCAGAAGGTCCAGAGTTTTGGGATATCAGGGACTGAATTTTATATATGTCCTCAATTATGCTTATAGAACATTTGGTTATCGCCAGGGCATAATGGCTTACACCTGTAATCCCAGCACGTTGGGAGGCCAAGGTGGGAGGATTGCTTGAGCTCAGGAGTTTGAGACCAGCCTAAGCAACATCATGAGACCTCATCTCTACAAAAATAACAAAATTAGCTGGATGTGTTGGCGCATGCCTGTAGTCCCAGCTACTTGGGAGGCTAAGGTGGAAGGAGTGCCTGAACCCAGCAGGTTGAGACTGCAGTAAGCCGTGATTATGTCACTGCACTCCAGCCTGGGCAACAGAGTGAGACCTTGACTTTAACAAAAACAAAAAGAGTCTTTTGGTTATTAATACGACTGGAAACAGGTGATAAGACACTCAGCATCTGCAGTGAAAAGAATCTTTGGTGCAAATCTGTTTCCACCACTGAATTTCTGTGTGACCTTGGGGAGATCACTTTACCTCCTTGATTTTGTTTCTATATGATTGTGACTGGGGAAATAATTCTTGCCCTAGTTAAACAGCTAAAGTATAATACAAGGTATTATAACAAAAAGCTAGGTCAGGGCACTGTGAAAAATCAAGGGAGAAAAGTATATTGTGAGCTATGTTTAGTTAGAAAAAGCTTCATGAAGAAGGTGGTAGGTATGGTGTTTGACTTTGCAAGCACTAGCTTGGTAAAGAGGAGAGAAGATAGCCACAGATGTGAATGAGAACATGCAGTGGAGGGAGACGGGTAGGAGAAGGGTTGAGAGGAAAAAGATGTAGCCTTGTGAACAGGGTCATCCTGGGAGCCACATAAGCAGAGATGACCTGTTAATCTTGACACATGAAAGGAGAGAGGCAGCCTAACACAAGGGTCAAGAGCATAGGCTTTGGAGCCCGACCAATTGGCTTCAAAACCCAGCCTGCCCACTACTCACCCTTTCTGTGCTTTAGTTTTCCCATCTGTAAAATGGAGGTAATAACACCTACTTTATAGGGTTGTTGGAAGCATTAAATGAGTTAATCCATGAGAAGTAGTTAGAACACTGTCTGGCACTGAGCAAGCCCCCTGCAAATGGTGACTTTTGTTACCATTAGGCAGTCAAAACTGTCTAAGGAATATATGTCACCAAAGTAGGTGGACTTCTGTTGAGATGGTAAATTCTGCTTTCTGTTTTATTGATCTATTTTACTTTATTTGAGTCAGAGTCTTACTCTGTTACCCAGGCTGGAGTGCAGTGGCACCACCATAGCTCACCACAGCCCCAACCTCCTGGGTTCAGTCAATCTTTCTACCGCAGTCTCCCAAGTAGCTGGGCTAACAGGCACACACTACCATACCCAGCTAATTTTTTATTTATTTATTTTTTTGGTAGACACAAGGTCTTGTTATTGCCCAGGACTCAAGCAATCCTAGACTGAAGCAATCTTCCCACCTCGGCCTCTAAAGTGCCCAAGTGCCCAGCATGTTTCCTGCTCACATTCTCCAGCTTCCTGCAGAATCCTGTGCTCCCCTCCTGCCCACCAAGCTTGACTAGATCCTTGACCTCAATATTACCTATTGCCAACCTCTTCTCCTTAACAACTATCTCTAATGCCCTAGAGAAAGGAAATAGAACAGTCAAAAAGGTTCCAAAAATATTTTATCAAATATACGTTTCTATTTGTGCTGATAGAAACCCACAAGAGTTGGGTTTCTGTCAACACAAATAGAAAACGTATATTTGTGGTCATCAGTATTAATTAAATGTTTATGTGCCAGACTCTTGCCAAGCCATTTTGTAGAGCACTTTATTTACTCATCACAACAACCATAGGTCGGTAAGACTTCCCCCACTTCACATATAAGGGGACCTCCAAGGGCAGGGAGGGGAAGGAACTTCCCTCAGGTGACAACTGAGAGCAGTGATGCCTCACTTCGGTTGCAAGCAATCTGGCTGCAGAGTTTTGGTAAAAGACAACATGTCTGACTTTAGGCACGTTAAATTTGAGGGCTTTCTGGAAAAGGAGGAGCAAATTTGCAGGTCCACAGTGTTCATCACAGCTCATGGGAAAAGAGGGGAGGGAGGCTCAGAGATGGGCTGATGAAAGAGAGGCGGAGGCCAACCTCCGCAGGACCTCGGAGAGCTCCTCTCCTCACAACCTGCCGGCAGTCACCCCTTCCTGGCTTCTCGGCGGGATCCTTCCTGTGCTGATCCAGAACATCTTGACCCATGATGTGTGACTGAAGGAGGCTCTGACATCTCTTCTTGCTAGGCAACACCAAGCCAGCACAGCGTGGGGGCTGTTCACAGTCCCAGGATTCTCTGGGCCAACCTGCCTGATTGCAAATCTCAATTCTGCCACCTCCTAGCTATGGGAACTTGGGCGAGTTGCTTAGCGTCTCTATGCCTCAGTTTTCCCACCTTTAATGTGCAAATATAAACAGTAAACCTATTCATGGCATTGTTATGAAGACTAAATGAATAAATTCACAAAATGTTTAGGGGAATTCCTGGCATATGGTAAATGCTCCATAAATGTGAGCTGCTAGATCATCGTCATCATCATCATCATCAGTCCTCATTATCAACATCCCTAAGTCACAGCAGTATCGTTTAAAGAAATGAGTCCTGACCTCTTCATGACTTGGCATTCACCCCTAGAAAGCACAGCTGAGGCTGGGCGCGGTGGTTCAGCCTGTAATCCCAGCACTTTGGGAGGCCAAGGCAAGAGGATTGCCTGAGCCCAAGGGTTCGAGACCCGCCTGGGCAACTTGGTGAGATCTCGTCTCTACAATAAATCAAAAAATAAGCAGGACGTGGAAGCGCGTGCCTGTAGTTCCGGCCACTTGGAAGGCTGAGGCAGAAGGATTTTCGGAGCCCAGCAGGTCGAGGTTGTGGTGGCCAGGAGCGTGCCACTGCACTCCAGTCTGGGCAACAGAGTGAGA